CCCGCCCTGGCGGCTCCGGCGGCAGATGCTGCGGGAGCCAGCGCCGCGCGCCATGGCCTACTTCTGGTCTCCATGGCAACTGCCCATTTCACGGTGCCCGAGCCACACAAAGCCCTGGCTGTGCCGCGCCGGCGGGCAACGGGGACAGGAGAGGGACAATGGCGGGGGGGCTGTGTCTGGACCCCTCCTCCACCCTCCCCAGGCTCCGTCGCCCCGCGGGGACCCGTCCCGGTGGTGGCCCCTGGTCCTTCTACCTGCGGCTCCGGCTGCTGCACCTTGTCCTGTGCCTCCATCAGCTCCTTGTCGATCTGCTCCAGCCGGGACGCCCGGATCTGTGGGGGCAGAGGGGGTGTCAGGGAGGGATTTGACCCCTCCCCCCCCCCAGGACCCCCAGGGTCCTCAGGACCCCCAAAGCCAGGAGTGGGGTGCACAGGACTGGGATGAGGGTGATGCCAGGGTGCAAGGAGCTGTGTTTGAGGGTGCAAGGAGCTGGGTATGGGGGTGCTCCAATTGGGATACCCGGATCTGTGGGGGCAGAGCAGGCTGGGACCCCCCCTGGGACCCCCCAAAGCCAGGAGTGGGGGTACACAGGGGTGATGCCAGGGTGCAAGGAGCTGTGTTTGAGGGTGCAAAGAGATGGGTATGGGGGTGCTCCAGGCGGCATGCCCGGATCTGTGGGGACAAAGCAGGTGCCAGAGAGGGCTGGATATGGGGGGACCCCCAGAGCACAGTGTGGGGGTGCACAGGGCCAGGGTGAGGGTGCAAGGAGCTGTGTTTGAGGGTGCAAGGAGTTGGGTGGGAGGGTGCAGGGGACTGGAGATGGCAGGACAGGGTGGGAAGGAAGATGGAGTCCCCCCCACCCCAGACACAGAATGGGAGGTGTAAGGAGAGGAAAGGGGGGGGTCCCAAGAGGAGGAGGGGGTCCCCCCCCCCTGACCTGCGCCCGCTGCACCATCTCGTCAGCCGTCCCAAAACGCTCCTCCATCAGCGAGCGGATGTGCTGGGCCTCGAACTCCAGCTGCTGCCGGATGAGATCCATCTGCATGGAGAACTGGGGGGCAATGGGGGGGTGGGCA